AATAAATAAATTATTTTTAATATTAAAAATAATAATATTAAGTTTTATGATAAATAATATTATTATTGTATTTAATATTTGTAATAAATAATTTTTAAAAAATTCATCAATTAGTGAAAAAAATATTTAAACAACATCTTCTAAATATCGTAAAATTTTTTCAAAAGATATAATTTAAAGTCGTATGAAATATAAATGATTTTTGTAAGTATAAAGTACAATGTCTTCTTTAAATTTTGTACATACCACAATAACATAGATAATCAATAGTTTCTATAATTATCGTGCGACTTTCAACATGTAATTTAATAAACATCTTAATTGAAAAAGTTTTTTTTTACACCCAGGTGAACAAATTTTTTCCCAACATATTATTAAAGTAATTTTATTGTAATATTATATAGAAAATATTACCACTTAAAAATATATTAAAAAAAATAGCAAGTGGTGAAGAGATGCACACTATAAATTTCCCCGTATTCTTTGCAAACTCCCACATTAACACCCAAAGGGCAAAGCATGGAGCATTTCTACATCACCCTTTTGCTACTCTTCGTCTCCTTCGTAACCCTCTCCTTCTTCGTCCTTTTCTACAAGCACCGCTCCAATTATTCCGCCGTCAACCTCCCTCCCGGCCGTCCCGGTTGCCATTCATCGGCGAGACCCTCGAGTTCCTCTCCACCGGATGGAAAGGCCATCCGGAGAAATTCATATTCGATCGCATGCCAAATACTCATCCCAAATCTTCAAAACCACATCCTTGGCGAGCCAGCCGCCGTCCTGCGGCGTGGCGGGGAACAAATTCTTGTTCTCCAACGAGAACAAGCTCGTTACGGCGTGGTGGCCAAGTTCCGTCGATAAAATCTTCCCTTCCTCGTTGCAAACGTCGTCGAAAGAAGAGTCGAAGAAGATGAGGAAACTCCTCCCCCAGTTCTTGAAACCCGAGGCCTTGCAGAGGTACATCGGAATAATGGACGCCATTGCCGACGAACACTTGCTTCACAATGGGAAAAAAAAACCGAGTCATCGTCTTCCCATTAGCAAAACGATACACTTTCTTCATAGCTTGCCGGTTGTTTTTAAGCATCGAAGATCCAAGCCACGTTTCGAAATTCGAAGCGCCGTTCCAGTTATTGGCTGCCGGAATCATTTCGCTACCGATTGACCTCCCCGGAACGCCGTTTAACCGAGCTATAAAGGCGTCGAATTTCATTCGGAAAGAGCTCTTGAGATCATCAAGCAAAGGAAAGTCGACCTCGCCGAGGGAAAGGCGTCGCCGACGCAAGATATATTGTCGCACATGTTGTTGACGACCGACGAGAGCGACCAGTTCATGACGGAGATGGATGTTGCCGACAAGATTCTGGGGTTGTTGATCGGCGGCCATGATACTGCCAGTGCTGCTTGCACTTTCATCGTTAAATATCTTGCGGAGCTTCCTCACATATATGAACTGGTTTACAAAGGTATTATTATATGTTTTCTTTCTCTATTATTATTATTAAAAATCAAAATAATTATATTTTAAGTAATTAAAAATTAAAATACATATTCATTGAATAATCAAATTCCTTGGTATAGTCGAGAAATTAGTATGAAATAAATAAATAAATAAATAAAAGTCGTGCAAGTCTTTGAAAAAGATAGACTTACTTCTTAAGTGAGATGACCAATCTTTTAAAGAATTTGATTTTTTTCTTTCAAATCCATTAATTTTACTTTGTTGATCAAAGTGAATAATTTTTTTTTATTAATTTGGTGTAAAAAACAAAATCTTTATTATCACGAATTGTTTTTATAAAAAAAGGGCAAAACATCAAGAAATTAACTCACCATTCACCAACTGCCTAAGTTGAATAATAATACTTAAATTATCCTACTCAAACATTAATTAATTAATTCATTTATTAACGAAAAACGTAAGGTTTTACGTTATGAATATAATTTTTAAAAAGTTATATTAAAATTTTAGAATACGGAATTATAAAATTCTAAGACTATATAATTAGATCATTAATAAAAAAATTTGAAAGAAAATATCTAAATTTTATGAATTTAAATTTTTTAGAAATGTGACTAGGGATGATAATTTGATATGAATCTAATGAGTTTTGATCTAACCCGATAGATAGAGTTAACCTTTTTAATAATCTGGGTTTGGGTCAGGTTATATAAAGGGTGAGATCAAATCAAGTTTGAAATTAGGGTGAAAAATCTCCAATTTGACTCTACTCAAAATAATAGTACAATTTTCTTATATATATTTAGATATAATTGTTATAATATCCTATTTATATATATTTTAAATTAGATCTCTATTATTTCGAATAAAAATAACAATTTTATATATATTTATGGTAGACCGAGTTGAGTTGAATTCGAGTGGAAGAAATATACTTTTCGAGTCAAATTAACCGAAATTTGAATATATTACTTTTTTCTAAAGACGACCATTCCTCAACATCCTCTCAATCCATCTCTATAGGGATAGAATCCAATTACAAAACGTAAAATTTTTCAGTTTTACACATATTTAGAACATTTGAATAATTAAAAATAGATGATTGATATTAATAATAAAAAATGAAAAAATAAAAAAAATTAATCTCAATAATCTATTTTCATTTAGTTAAAGTTTAAGGCAAAAGTTGATTTATACTTCCAAAGTAAAAAAAAATGTCATTTTCAAATATCATATTGTATATATTTGCATGCATGCGTATCTTTCTTGTTTAGCCGGTCACCGTTTTCTTGTATATGGTGTCATTTAGCCGGCGACAACGGCTTAAATAGTACTAAAATTTTAGAATTAGATCTGTCAAATTTATATGAATTCGATTAATTTAAATATAATTTTAATTTAACTTTAATTTAAGAAATATTAGAAAATTAAGAAAATTAAGACTCGAATAGTCTCGACTCTCGAGTCTTTGTACTTTTAAAACTAAGAAAAGTAAGTCTTGCCCTTCATTTTTATTGGGTCCAATTAGTTTTTAGGTCCCACTTAATTTTGAAATTAAAAATATCAGATCAAAGTTTATATTGTTCCGATTTAAATACTTCTTAAATACATCGTGGTTTTATATTGATGATTTAATTTCGTTTCTTTGAATTACAGAACAAATGGAGATAGCAAAATCAAAAGCTCCAGGTGAAAAATTAAGTTGGGATGACATTCAAAAGATGAAATATTCATGGAACGTTGCTTGTGAGGTGCTGAGACTTGCCCCACCATTACAAGGTGCCTTTAGGGAAGCCATCAATGATTTCATCTTCAATGGCTTCTCCATCCCAAAGGGTTGGAAAGTGAGTCCCATGTTTACTTTCGTTCGTACAATTTTGTTTTACCCGAATTCGATTATAAATTTAACCCGTTTTACGATCTCTGTACAGTTGTATTGGAGCGCGAATTCGACTCACAGAAACCCAGAATGCTTTTCGGACCCGTTAAAATTCGATCCGACGAGATTCGAAGGAAAAGGACCGGCACCCTACACGTTCGTCCCGTTCGGCGGCGGTCCTCGAATGTGTCCCGGGAAGGAATACGCTCGGCTCGAGATGCTCGTCTTCATGCATAACATCGTGAGAAGGTTTAAATGGAAGAAGTTGGTGGGTGATGAGAAGATCATTGTTGATCCCATGCCTATGCCTGCGAAGGGTCTTCCGGTTCTCCTTTACCCTCACAAATCTTAGGTTATAGCTTTTAACTTCATTATTCACAAAATCACTTTGTTTTCTATGTATCAATGTTGATTAAGCAACTTTATTTGCATATTTTCTTTTTTAGTTTTTTTTTATTTCTCATACTTTTGAGCTTGTAATGTTTTTAAAATCAATATATTTTAAATGTATGTTTGTTTATTTTATGGATTATCATCTGATAAATTATTTGTACAATCAAAATATCACAAACAATGTTTAAATGATGTTAATTGTCTCATTATCAAGGATGATAATGGGTCGAATCAAAAAGAATTTTTGACTGACTTGAACCTGATCCGACACTATAATAATAAAATCTAACCGTGATTCGATATGAGTTTAAAAATATTTTATGTGACCTGAATTTGTCCCGACATTTTAACTAAAAACCTGACTATGATTCGATTTAATATAATTTTTCCACATATTTTTTTATTAAAATAAAAAAAATATTTAAATAAAATATCAATTCATTAGATTTAATAACATAGAATTAAAGTGAATTTTAATTTAATACCTTATTTACTATTTTTTTACATATACTTTTTAATCAAAATCTAACCATTAATATATACATACACAAAATGGTAATTTTAGAATTATCTTATGTCAAGGTGAGACGAGTTATCTTTAAACCTGATCCGATCTAATCAAATTGAAAAAACTTGATTTGACTTAACCAATTATTCAAATTTTATTAAAAAAATCTTACCTTATCATATCAAAACGGGTTGAAACTATAAACTTAGGGACTAAAAAGGTTCTTTCACATTATTAATTTAATTGATGATTTTTTTAATTATTTTCAAAGAATGGATGTCATATTTATAATAACTATAAACTTAAGGACTAAAAAGATTCTTTTATATTATTGTAAATTGTAATTGTCATGATAACATGTGGACATATCATGCCAATTATTGTTAATGGTTTATAATTGAGATGAAAGTTTTTCTTAACATTTATGACTTCAATTAAAGTTTTTTCAATTTTTACGATATGACATCCTTATCACCGACGATTAATTCATGTTTTTTTTATTAATCTGAGATAATTATAAGATAATATTTATTAAAAAATTTAACGATTTGATATTTAAGTAGACTTCGTGTCCGAAATCGAGATTTTTAAGAATTTCCTCTTTCATTCTTACTCGATACAGCTCATGTTAATGAACTTTTTATTGTTTAACCAAATGAATTTCCCAAATAAGAAATTTGATCCAAATCCTAAAAAAAAAATGGATAAAATAGGAATAAAAATTCTCCCACGCACCGAATTTAGATTGGAACGAGTAAATGGCGCATCGCCACGCTTTGCTTGCCGTTAATGGCGACAGCGCCTCTGAAAAAGCAAAAAACCCAAAGGAAAAAAGGAACAGTTAATCCCATCGTGGATTCGATCCGGAAGACATTGTCGATATTTTCCTTCCCCCTTTTAATCTTTGGATGTGTTTTCTTTTTTATGGTTCCATCTTTGGCTCGGTTCAGCTCCTTGGCAACGACCTACATGTATATGTATATAATAATATCACGTGAAATATATACATATATATATATGTCGATATTCAAGCTTTGGGGAGCTAAAATCCGAATTCAGATTGATTTTCAGGGTGTGGTTTCTTTCATTAATGGGGCTTTGTTGTAGCACCGGTGGGAAAACGCCGTGCCAACAACGTAAACATGGCAAATCTCTCAAGAGGAGTCCAGGTTAGTGTAATTTTCATTTCCATTTTCTTGATGTTTTTTCAGCATTGTTCTCAAATCTTTTGGCCATTTGTTGTGAATTTGTCGATTCATCAGTGCACCGGTGCTTTAGTTAACCGCTCTTGAATATGATCGTATCGGTTTCATTCTTAGAAAACTATATGAGTTCTGAGAATTAATCGATTGAGTAGAGTTTGAACAACCTAGAACTAGTGAACCGGGACTGACTTCCGATTGTGCCTTGTGTGAGCTATTGTTTGAACACTGTATAGAATTGTTGAATGATGATGAATTTCGATGTTTCCAATATCATTATCTCCAGATCCAGAAGGCCTTGATTAAGCACTTGCGGTTACAATTGTATCGGTTTCATGCTTCAATCTTTTAATATTTAAAGAGATTGAATGCCTTTAGCTTGTAGAACATTTCTTTAATCAACAATTTCAAACTGAGGACTTAATAGTTAATACCACTGCATGTCCAACAGAAAGAAACCCAGAAACGCAGAGATCAAATGAAACCAAAACTCAAACCGTCTTTCCTTTGACATCCGTCAAGGATCTCAAAGATCTACGGCAGAATCCTAGTTACAGCAATGTCAGCGTATTCACATATGAGGAGACAAAGTTGGCTACGAAGGAATTCCGGCCAGACCATATAGTCGGCGAAGGGGGGTTTGGGGTCGTTTATAAAGGAGTCATAGACGAGAATGTGAGGACCGGTTTCCCATCTACAGCAGTCTCCGTTAAAGAGCTTAATCCTGATGGCTTCCAAGGGGATAAAGAATGGCTGGTAAATCTCTTTGCATCTTCTAAACTAATTCTTTTAATCTGCGGTCATTGTTTTATTTGTGGTATATATACATATACGAATATCTCGAAAAGTTTCATTCTATGTTACTCGGACTGGGGCATGAATGTCTGGTATTTTTTATTTTCAAATTTGTTCATGTATTTTGAATACTTGTTTACATAGGATATAGAACAAGAACTATAATTTAAGCATTAGTTAATTCCTTAGATTTCATGTTATTTTACCTTTTCAATTGTTTTGAAGTATTATGTCCGATACTAACAAACTAATGCATGGATTTTTTTTTGGGTAAAGTACACCAGAGGTCATTGAAGTTTGCTCAAATGATCGTTTTAATCATTGAACTTTCAAAAGATATACAATAGTTGTTAATTTATCAAACTATTACAAAACGGTCATTATGATGTTATAATAACTGTAAATTTCGAATAAATTTAACAATCGTTTTGTAATAATTCAAAAAAAATTGAGACTATTTTGTAACAGTTGGATAACATTTAATGATCATTTTATAATTTCTGAAAATTTTGTGACCAAAATGATCGGTTGAGTATAGTGCAACGACCCCGAAGTACTTTATCTGAAATTTTTAGTCAATTAAACATTTGGTTTAGATACATAACTCAATATCTAACACTCTCACCTCAGCTCGAGTCACATAAGGTAATGCATTGCTATTTTTCTCAAATTTATGGATTTAACTATGTCAATTGGATGGGTCAGATTGGTTTCAGATCTGGTTTTAAAATTTGAGTTAGGGTTAGTTTTGACATTGGTTCAATTTCATATTCAAACCATTTTTTTGTCTGGGTCATTTTGAACTTTGTCATTACGAATTCGAGTATGATTTGATCGTTTTGGATTATTTATTCGAACCATTTTGTGGATTGAAGTAAACATAGATATGACTGCACAAATTTGTTTTGCAGGCTGAAGTGATCTACTTAGGGCAGCTCAGGCATCCAAATCTTGTGAAGCTCATCGGCTATTGTTGTGAAGATGACCATCGGTTGCTTGTTTATGAATACATGGCAAGTGGGATCGTCGAAAGACATCTCTTCCGCAGTAAGTTGTAGAGAATACAATGTACTCCAATTTAAGTACATGTCCATATCTTCCTCCAACAATACATCCATTTATAATGGTCATTCCTCTTATTTTGTGACTGGTTAGTAATATTAACTCGGGTAAACTACACGTTTAGTACCTAAACTATTAATTTTGTTTCGTTTTAGTACCCAGACTTTTTTTTCTTTTCAAAACCATACCAAAACTGTTAAAATATTAACAAAACTGACATGACATATATATATATATATATATATATATATATTATATATATTTATATGATATACTTATCTTATGGTGTGACATGTTAACATTACCGTTAAGTTTTTAATAGCGGGTACCAAAATGAAAGCTAAACTAAACGTTAGGTATAGTTTTGAAAAGAAATAAAGTTTGGGTACTAAAATGGAACAAAAACAATAGTTTAGATATAAACGTGATTTACCTAATTAAGTACAAAGTGCCTATTTTTCGACTTAATTTTTTGAAATATCAATGTCTGACACATACGAATGAGCATGAAACATACCCCCAAACACATAGAAAAGACTAAGCATATCAATACATAGCATCTCCAATACTCGCACCGAGTCCAAAAAAACGAAGAGAACTAGGAAACATAAGCTAAAAGGCATATGCATTATGCATACATATCAAAAGAGATGTTTTCCATTATACCAAGGTTGAAAGCATTTTGTTATTCACCCTATTTATTATGGTTGGTTGTTAGGATCTGATTGTACTTTAACTTGGTCAAAAAGAATGAAGATCGCTTTAGAAGCGGCAAAAGGGCTTGCTTTCCTTCATGGTGCCGAAACACCCGTCATATACCGCGACTTCAAGACGGCCAACATCTTGCTCGATGAGGTTACTCATCGTTTCCCTTTGTTAATCACTTTCATTAGTTTCAACTCGTACTTGATTGTGAGTGTCAGACACGAGAATGCTCTATCCATATTTCGGACTTGCTAAACGGGCTAAACGGCTTGCTTGATTGTAAACATGTAGGACTTCAATGCAAAGCTGTCGGATTTCGGACTTGCAAAGGATGGACCAATGGTAGACCAAACCCATGTTTCAACACGAGTGATGGGAACACAGGGTTACGCTGCTCCTGAATATTTGGACTGGTTAGTAACATAATGCTTTTTTCCCAGAGGATTAAACCATCCACATAATTCAGAAGTGTCAATATATAACCAAGTTGCAGTATTGAAATGAACAGGCCATTTAACAGCAATGAGCGATGTTTACGGGTTTGGAGTAGTGTTATTAGAGATGCTACTTGGGAGAAGAGTAATGGACAAGGGGGGGCTTAGCCGAGGACAAAACCTGGTCGATTGGGCTCGACCACTTTTGAACCATAACAACAAACTTATTAAGATCTTAGACCCTAACATGGAAGGTCAATACTCACCTAGAATTGCAATGAAGGTAGCCCATTTGGCTTATTTATGCCTCAGCGAAAACCCAAAAGGCCGACCTGTGATGAGCCAAGTTGTCGAATTTCTCGAGAAACATCAGGCAGAAGATGTCAGCCACGACAAAGCTCCCAACAAGTCCCCCCGGACTCCCGTAAGATAGAGAAATCCCACGAGAAGTGCAACTCACAAAGACAGGTGCAAACAAAGAATAGAACCTGCAAGACGAAGAAGCCAAAGCGAATCTCCCATAGAAACTAAACTTTCTGAGCCTTCGGATTTTGACGCTGAAGATAGTGTTGGAAAAGTGGCCAAAGTGTCCAACTAAAGAGTTGTTTGAGGATGCATAAAGTTTGGTTTCAACCTTTCCCAGTGGAATATGTCGGCTGGTTCTCAAATGGTGCCTGGATCTTTTCCCATTAGCTTCATCCTTTCAAGCATTTTTCTTTTGGAAACGGTGGGGAAGATTGGTAAGCAGGTACAGGCCGCAAATGGTCGGTCACTTTCTGCTGACATGGCTGCTGCACTTGTAAGTTTTGCATCCAAACATTTTTTTATTATTATTTTATTATCTGTATTGTTTTTTTTTTCCTTAACTTCTTGTATCAAATTCAAGAAATAAATGATTCTTTTTTTCTTTTATATTTTGCTCACCTATTTTTTCACAAGAAAAATGATTTAGCATATATACTAGTTGATGCACATTATCAATATTTTACAGTAATGCATTCGACTAGGGACTATGTTCGAAGATTTGATTTCAATGCTTGTTGGATTTCATAACTGTAATGTCTACCCTCCCATGTAAAGTAGTATAAATCTTCACGACTTCATCCGATTAATAGCTAATGATATCTGTAATTACTGCGGAGTCTGAATGGTCAAGATGTTAGTTTAGACTTTAGAGGGAAAGCAACAGTTCAAGTTTGGCCATGATCCAACGGCTGGATTGGGAGATCAAAAAAGAATCAGGTTCTAATCTTTGGCCATGGGTTTAGGAGGTCCTAGGTCTTTGAAAGAACTTTAGGGTTCATAAGCCGTAGGCAAATGGATCTTTGTATCACTTTATCAAGTGATAAATTTGTTTGGCTCTCTATCATATACACTAACATCTTCCACTTATACTAATCTAAGAGTTATCTTAACAAGGGCAATTTAGCTCTTTGGAAAAAGATATACATGCACCAGCAATGAGTCAAGTAGATGGCAATGCATTATGTCATTTGAACCTTGCTGAAGCATCTTTAACAAACTACGACCTAATAAGAAAAAGTAAACAAGTCGAACAGTCCTCGTGCAGTACTGTAGTAAAAGGCAGAAAGTACCTGAACAGATGGATTTTAGAGTACTTCATAGAATGGACCTCTTGGGACAACAAGCGAAGAAACGTGTTTTGCCTGGTGCAGTTCTTCTGATGGTCCGAATCAGTGCAGAATTTCCCGTTCAACCAGTTCATAACTATAAGCATTTTCCCGTTGAGAAAAGCAGAAAAAATGGTGTACTAGTTCAGTTGGCAATGCAAATGATATAGACTAATTCTTAAAGGGAAGTTAGTAAAAGAGGTGATTGAGTACCAGAACAAACATCAAGTCTGATTGATAGTTACAAAAGATTTATCCAAGATCTAATCCATCCAATAAAGGCCATTTAATTCAATTTTTTTTTTTTTAAATCCATTTTTCAGAAGTGGAATCTGAACTAGAAATTTCCTTCCCAAAATTTTCCACTACCAAATCCGAGTTCATTGACCCGACATAACTTGACAACAGATGATCCTAAATTTCAAGTTTACTAGAGGATAAACAATTCAAGATTAAGCAGAGTTATAAACTTAGTGATTTTACCAACCTACGAAAACTACCAGTCCTCTCGAATCTTTCCCGTGATACATTTTTTCTCATTAGTCCTGCAAGGGAGGAGGATGCTGGAGTACATTGAAAAACTTGGAAGCTATTATCACTACTCTAGCCAGGGTGATAAATGAAATCATATTTCCTTACCCCATTCTCGGTGGAACCTTATTCCCAGCTGAGTAACCGATCTTCTTTCAGCAGGGTTAGAATGCTCCATGTTCATTGCCTCCTGCATTCCAGATAAAATCTCCCTTCTCACTTTAGCAGAGGGAATTAAGAGACTTGGTCCATGGATAGCACTCAAATCAACCACCTAAAAAACATAGATTACAGATGGTTAAACTATTGCTTGAAAACACGGAGATTTCATATAAAAAATGAGCGATGAACAACTACCAGGCTCGAGATAAGATAATTCAAATCATATCAAAGAACTAGAGCACTTATCTATCAGACAGCTTTTACGATTTTTCAGAGTATGTTGATTTGAACTCTCAAAATTATTAAAATCATCTTTGATGGTTCATAGTATTTCTTACTGCAATTCAGCTCATTGTAATTGGTTTGAGACATCAAGAGAAATTTTTTGTCAGGTAATAAGTTTAATATTAAACCAAGAGAAGGAACTTGTTTAAAATTGAAGTTTGAAGCTCCACAAATAGTATTTCTGGAAAAAACAAGGAAAAATTAGAGGAACAATTAAAAAAATGATGGTACTTTAGAGAGAAAATAGACAACAACCATGAACATCAAGTACTCAGCCTTGACAGCCATACACAGTTAACAATGCTTCGGTAATCAACTGGAAAAGCAAGATATGTTGGGCAAGAGTGCTCGGCAATACTGATCGGGAAACATGCATGAATATCTTTATCAATATCAATTCAAAGGTAATATCTTTGTGTTCTAATATATATATCTGAAGGAAACAGATAGAAATCTATCATCCCCTAAATTGTGATATATAAATCATGTATACCAGGAGTATGATAATAAGCTAAAAGTATGATCGGTAACTTGCCTGCTGCAACCATTGAATAACACAGTTCATAAATCTCTGTTCCAGGAGGTATGATGCCAAAATTCTGAGAAGATTGTAGACATTCTTTTGGGATAATCTTTCTAGAACAGGACCAGTTCTATCAAGAAGCTCAATGAGGACAAGTTCATCACCAAAGAGAGAGCTTTAGCATATGCGGAGTCTAAGTCACCTTGGCACAGAAGACTTTTCACATGTTGCCATAGGCCATCTTTGTTGTCAGGATACTTCTTTCTGCCACTCATAGTTGGAACAGAAGATCAAGTAGAGACATCTTCATTTTTTCTGATCTGGTCAATGACTTGTGCTCCCTGCCCAGAGCTTTTGGGCACATCATTCTCCGAATTTCTACAAATTTGTACAGTATGATTAGTTCATATCTCCATACCCTGCTTCGTACAACTGGGTGACTTGTTTCTACCAAGTGCTTTTTCCTCCCAAACATCAGAATTCTTCACTGACAGCAAAGAAGATTGTCTGTTATGAATATCTACAGAAGGCCTTGGAGTATAAGAAGGCAGTCTCGAAAATGAAGCACCAGCCCGCTGCTTCTCAAGTCTGGAATTCACTAAATCAGGATGCTTTCCACTCTGCGGGAGGTCTTGTGCCATTTGTTCTACTACATGGTCTAAACTTAAGACCTTCGACTGTAGCATGGACATGCTATACATTATACCAGATGAAATACCTAAAAGAAAATATAATTCATAATTGGAAAGAGAAAAGTTAATATCGGCTGTCAAGCAAATACTACTGGAAGAATACTTTTTTCAAAGGTAAAATAGAAAATCGAAAACACAAGACTTCAACACAATAAGATATATCACTCGGTTTGCATTGGTGCCTAGGATTAACGAGGACAGAATAGGATGAGACAACATCAATGGGTTAATTATGTTTGTTTATCTTATTGTGGTTGTACGCACAAAAATGTTATCATCGAACTTTTAACAGTCCTATCCACATATGCTTATCCATGTTCTCCCTCTCTATAGGATTTTGCAACCATATCCATATAAATAATTAATCTAACTTCCAGAATCTTCCCTTAAAAGACTAAAGCTAACATGTTTAGCATTAAAATGAGTAAACGCCTTTTATTTTGAGCATCTTATTTTGGCGCATGTATAACAAAAAATTAGGATAGTCAAATCTCCTCCCTCTCCATAGGATATATAATTATATTACTCATAAAATCTAACGCGTCTAACTTGCCAGCTGTAAAGAAACACTAGACACAATGAGCAACAAACAAGAAATCATCCTTTCCTATTCTCCGTTGTGCCAAATTTGCCCTCATGATATTATCTAATGAAGCTGCCCAATAAATATGAAATTGAGAGAGAGAGAGAAAGTAAATAGAAAATAGACATAATAGAATGACTCAGAAACTCGAGATTTAAACTTTGTATTCCTCAAAACTGGAAAATATACCAAGGTTGGTGCTTCATGGTGATGAAATTTAAATGTGACAAGCATTTTATGCAAAAGAATAAATCCTCAACACTGAAAGGCCATCCTATGGTTTAGAATGGCATTAGAATGCATAAAGTATTGCACGCATATCATTTAGCTATCGAGATTTACCTGGAAAAGATCCATCAAGTTGGACTGCTTGCTGTCAATCTCCAAAAGTTGTTTCTGAATGCCAACAATATTATTCTCAATCCGTGAACAAAATATTGAGACGGTTTCTGGACTTGATTCATTGACTTCTGAATCAAGACTCTGCAGTCACTAATTTTTCCAGAGCACACACCATCTTCCTCCTCATTACTAATTTCTTCACCTGCAATCCTCTGGTTTCGTCTCATGGACTTCTGCCATTGTCCCTTGGCAATATGGTCATGAGAAACAGTTACAAACTTAGGCCCAAGTTATCACTGAGAAGGTTGGACACCGAAGAACATTCTTGTTTGTCATCCAAAGGGACAAACTCATATCCTAGATCTTGTGTACTTGTAGTGCCGGGCATCATTCTATCCAATGTCTTGGCAACAGTACTCCCTTCAGATTCTTCATTCTGAACATCCGGTAAAGAAACATTATGATTCTCTGAAACAGAAATTTCAACATGCCAACCATCATCTTTGCAATGCTGAGGGTCTTGAAAATAATTCTGAGACGTCTTTCTAGCAGACAGAGGCACCCTTCTTATAGCTGAGTTTGTAGTAACTTTCTTCTCCGAGGCATCTTTCCAACCAGAGTCATTGTTAATGGTGATATCACTGTAATCACCTCCACAGAAGTTTTCTGCAGAAAG